TGTATCTTGAGTCAATCTCTTTTGAGATATAAAAGAGAGAAATAAGCAGAGAGGATGGGACCTCATTCTACCAAGAAGAAGCACCGGGAGTGGAGTGCATTCTTTGGACCCAGAGTCCCTGCGCTGAGAAGCTCCTAGACCAGGGAAGATTGATGACAAGGACTTCTCCCCAAGAACCCAAACAGAGTAAAACCCTTCCCTGGGAGCTGGTGCCCTGAATTCAGACTTGTAGCCTCCTAGACTGAAAGAATACATTTCTGTTTGTTAAAGCCGTCCACTTGTGGTATATCTGTTATAGCAGCACTAGATAACCAAGACAACAACTAATAACACTTGCCTGTTCTTTATTCCTACAAAACTGGCTCATTCATATAATGTGACCAAATCATTGTTAAAGGGAGTTATTTTGTTTGGTTTGGTTTTCTTGTAGTAATAAGAAAAACTGCCACCTATGAGCTTTTGCAGTATTTGGAGACCCATTAAAAGACACCAGTGTTTGAAAATTCATGGTCAAGGCTTTTATAGAGTTAATGGATGAAAGGGGACCCATCTGGGATGTGTACAGCATGGAAAACCAATTTACTAGAAGTAAAATTTTATTTAAGAATTATTTAAAATAAGTTTTAAAAATATATCTTTTGAGAATGTTTAAGGGGGCAGGGAAACTAGATTAATGAAAATGGAACAACCAGAACAGAAATAATGAGAATGTTCACTCATTGTGAAGAATGTAACCAATATCACTGAAACCATGTAGAAATTGTTGAATGGGAACCTCAACTACTGTGTAAACCTTCACCAAAAAACACAATAAAATGTTTTTTTTAATGAGAAAAAATATATATATCTTTTGAGCGATCTGGGTAAAAAGTGGCTCCTTTCAAAGAAGAGTGAAAACCCCTATAGCCAAAAATAATAGAAAGAATTGTAAAGGAAGAGTAATACTGATTTGATGCAACCATTATTTACAACAATGTCAAACAACAAAACAAAATATCTGAAGGCACTGGCAATTAAAAAAATTTTGTCACTAATAGTAGATTTTATTTTCCTGTTATGTGCAGTTAAAAATATATACAATTACAAAATATATTTTAAGTGAGATATTTTTAAATGCCAATGGGTAATGATCTGGGGAGTCTTGAACCTGAAACAACCCAAAATGGTTCATCAAATCAACCCAATCTCTAGGATTCTTCTAGGATTATAGTAGAAAACAAAATGTTAACCCAGAAACTTATCAAATCCATAGTTGAGAGAAATGATAGTTGCTGCATACTTTACAATGTGCTTTACAACATGCCTAAATCTATGGAAAATCTCCATAAAAAATACCCAATGCCCTAACATTTTGAAGTTTAAGGGGACAAACTCCTAGATATTCTCCTGATAATTCATTGAATGAGGATGACTCATTCCCTAAGACATCCTCTGGCACACGATAGCCACTCAGTATTTTCTACTTGATGAACTGTTTGACAGGTAATCCTGTCAATTGCTCTAACTGTTATGGGCCCCATCCCATCTCAAGCTGGACAACCAGAAAGCTGATTCTTGGAACAGACTGATGAGGACTCCTGCGGAGCCACACTCACTGAGTTGTGCCTTGTGTTGTTTCTTCAGCTTACAGTGGAGGACCCTCAGGACAAGAAACATCCTTAAAAAATCCACTACTATCTTTGCAGCTAAAACATTACTAAACACTCACTAAAATACTGAGGGTCCTGAATGCCTACACCATCTAGATTTCATTCAATACATGTGAGAGGAGAGTGCCAAGATCAGAGTTTGACTACAAGGAGGAAATGTTTAGCAGCACTATATAGCATAGATTGGAGGATGACAGGGAGAGAATGGAGGCAAGGAAATCAGACAATTACTATAAGAGAGCAGGGGTCTCCCTGTCTACTTTACAATGAAGTCATTCAAGTCAAGCACTAGGTGATAGCTGTTGGGGGAATATAAAATGGTACAACCACTCTGGAAATTGATTTGGCGCTTCCTTAAAAAGCTAGAAATGGAAGTACCATATGATCCAGCAATCCGACTCCTTGGAATATATCCTAGAGAAATAAGAACCATCACACAAATAGATACATGCACACCCATGTTCACTGCAGCACTGTTCACGATAACAAAAAGATGGGAACAACCCAGGTGCCATCCACAGATGAATGGATAAACAAATTATGGTATATTCACACAACGGAACACTATGCAATGGTAAAGAACGACGACGAATCTGTGAAACATAACATGGAAGAATCTGGAAGGCATTATGCTAAGTGAATTTAGTCAGTCACAAAAGGACAAATATTGTATAAGACCACTATTATAAGAACTCAAGAAAAGGTTTAAACACAGAAGAAAACGTTCTTTGATGGTTACGAGGGTGGGGAGGGAGGGAGAGAGGTATTCACTACCTAGATAGCAGACAAGAATTATCTTAGGTGAAGGGAAGGGCAACACACAATACAGAGGAAGTCAGCACGACTGGACTAAACCAAAACTAAGTAGTTTCCTGAATACAACCAAACACTTCGAGGGACAGAGTAGCAGGGGCCGGGGTCTGGGGACCACGCTTTCAGGGGATATCTAGGTCAATTGGCATAACAAAGTTTATTAAGAAAATGTTCTGCATCCCACTTTGGTGAGTGGCATCTGGGGTCTTAAAAGCTAGTGAGTGGTCATCTAAGATGCATCAATGGGTCCCAACCCACCTGGAGCAAAGGAGAATGAAGAACACCAAAGACACAAGGACAGTATTAGCCCAAGAGACAGAAAGGGCCACATAAACTACAGACTTCATCAGCCTGAGACCAGAAGAACTAGATGGTGCCCGGCTACTACCAATGACCGCCCTGACAGGGAACACAACAGAGAGTCCCTGATGGAGCAGGAGAAAAGTGGGGTGCAGAAGTCAAATTCTAGTAAAAAGACCAGACTTAATGGTTTGATTGAGAAAGGAAAGCCCCTGGACTCTCTGTTAGCCCAAAACTAAAACTATTCCTAAGGCCAACTGTTCAGAAAAAGATTAGACTGGACTATGGGACAATGATACTCATGAAGAATGTACCTCTTAGCTCAAGCAGATACATGAGACTAAATGGGCAGCTCCTCTCCAGAGGTGAGATGAGAAGGCAGAGAGGGTCAGGAGCTGGTTGAATGGACACAGAAAATCAGGGGTGGAAAGGAGGAGTGTGTTGTCACAGTATAGGGAGAGCAACAAGGGTCACCTAATAATGTATGTATAAATTTTTGTATGAGAGAATAACTTGAATTGTAAACTTTCACTTAAAGCACAACAATTAAAAAGAAAGAAAGAAAGAACTGGTGATAGTACTGTCAAGGGGAATTACTGTTAAAAGGTTGTGACCTTGGGCTTCCGCATTTCTGGAAAGAAGAATTAGGGTTGGTATGCATTTACATAAGTCATAGATATTTGAGAGAAAATCTAGGCTTTCAAACTTGATTCCCACATGGATTTGCTAATCTGACAGGCTAGCTTTCATCCAATAAGGATGCTCAGTATTTAATCACAAAAAGGCAATGATCCTATTAGTTTTCTAGAAGGATAAATTAGGGTACAACTTGTTATGAAACAATATATATAAAGTGCTTTGAAGTCCTTTGTAAAAAATACACAGCTATTTTAGTAGGTACTTTTCCCAGTAGCTGTGCTGTATTTCAAATGCATAGTTAGCACCCTCACAGGTGTAATGCAAACTAAGGTACACCAGGCTGAAAACCATAAGGACCTACTGCTGAAGAACCTGTGTATTATAAACTACTGTCAACATTTTATAAAAAGAATTCATGCAGAATTATATGGACCATATAGTAACTGTTATGGATTGAATTGTGTCCCCCCAAAATGTGTGTCAACTTGGCTAGGCCATGATTCCCAGTATTGTGTGGTTATCCACCATTTTGTGATCTGATATGATTATCCCATGTGTTGTAAATCCTAACCTCTATGATGTTAACAAGGCAGTTATGCTAATGAGGCAGGACTCAATATACAGGATTAGGTTGTGTCTTGAGCCAATCTCTTTTGAGATATAAAAGACAGACTCGAGTAGAGATGAGGGGGGCCTCGTACCACCAAGAAAGAAGTGCCAGGAGCAGAACACATTCTTTGGACCCGGGGTCCCTGTGCTGAGAAGCTCCTTGACTAGGGGAAGGTTGATGACAAGGACATCCCCCCAGAACTGACAGAGACAGAAAGCCTTCCCCTGGACCTGGCACGGTGAATTCAGACCTCTAGCCTCCTAAACTGTAAGAGAACAAAATTCTGTTAAAGCCATTCACCTGTGGTACTTCTGTTATAAGCAGCCACTAGATAACTAAGACAGTAACTAACCAGTTACTACTTTTTAAGCCAGTTATTTTTTTTCTGTAACTGTTTTTGTGTGTGTGAAAATATATACACCAAAACATACACCCATTCAACACTTTTTATAACCAGTTATTTTTAATGCAGGCAAGAGATACATCAGTAGCTATGATAATAATACAGGTGAAGGACTCACTGGTGTGAGAGGGAGATGAAAAAGGCCAAGTGAAGTACCTGAAAATTACCAAGTAAGGTCATTCCAAAGGAAGCCAGACACAGTGCCACCAATCCACTAATATTCAGCCACGGGTTTAAAACCTTTGGTTTCAGTTGTATGAAGCGCAGAACTGCTACCACAAGAGCTAGGAATAAAACAAAATGTTAAAATTTTTCAATTTCAATCAGATACCCAGACTATGAAGCAGAGTTCTAAAGCCACAATGTGCAAAATTAAACTTGTCACCACAGTATATTTTAAATCTCCAAAGTGACAATTTTTTCTTAGTAATGTTCCATGCGATACTTATGATTGTTTAAATGTTTTATTAATACCTAACCTGGGGGAGGCAGAGAGGAATTGAAGCAGCAGTGATGGATGTTATCTGGGTGATACAAGGATGATAGAACTGTTAATAGTGTTGTTCTCAGAGTTCTCAAAAACAAGGTCAGCACAGGACAGACTGGCTTAGCAGAGCACTGCAGAGGCTTGGCACACACAACAAGTCAGGTGGGGATAAAGACAGACCACGGAACGGGAACTCACTGATCCAATTAGCTTTTAATTTAAAACAGTGTTAGACCAGAAAGAGCAGGGGAACATGGGGAAGAAGACAAGGTTACCACATCTAGACAAACCTGCTGGTCCCTGTGCCAGAAATCATTCCTGGCAATGGAAGGAAGATAAAGGCAAGAGTATGAATTCCTTTATTACTGATTTTACTCCCACTTCCTGTTGATTCTACCTCTAGAGATTCACTGTCAAAGGTTGCAGATAGTTAATCCAAATTAGAACAGTTACAGTAATCAACTTTTATAAAACCTGCATTTTGACATAGCAGATTTGGGGGTCTGGTATGTATTAAATATCATAGTTATATTAAGAACCCTTAACTCTTCCAAATTAAGGCCCCTGAGTGGCACAAATGGTTTGTGCTCAACTACTAATCTGAAGGTTGATGGTTCAAACCTACCCAGTGGTGCCTCAGAAAAAAGGCCTGGTGATCTGCTTCCTTAAAGGTTGCAGCCCAGAAAACCCTACTCTATAACACATGGGTCGTAATGAATTGAACTGACTTGACAGCAACAGGTTTGGGGTTTTTTTTTTTTTTTTGGCTTAAATTCTTCTAAATGATATTAATTCCTCATTTTAAAAAGTCATTCTTATCTTTTAAAGCAAATTGTTAAGAATTTCAACAGAGAATGAGGGAAGTTACTTAGATTTCAAACCTGGCTTCTAACAGTAACTTTGGGAACCGTCCATATTCAAGACACTAATCCAAGAATCACCTTTTATTAATTGTTCAGTGCAGGGATATTTTCATATTTATTTAAAAATGCTGAGAGAGGTTACCCTACAAATGATGAACAAGTACTTGCAATTAATATAAATTATATTTACATACAAAGAAATGCTCTTACTATTTCCTAAGGCAATTTATTTGACCTTAATGTTCAACAGGGAAGACAATTAGAAATTCAAAAATTATGCTATTTATACAGCAAATAGGTAGGTAATTATTTGCTAAAGGTTTTACCTTGATTATAAGTCATTAGTAGCCATTAATAAAGATAACCCATCCATAAATTTACATTTCCTAAGTATGCTGAATTTCATGGTCTAGTGTTTCAAGCTGTGAAGTTAAGCTCACTGAGTCAAGTTTCAGTTCCAAGTACCTCTGATCAAAGAGTTGTATACACCCAACCACCTGGAGTTAAGGAGAACCAAGAACACCTAAGACACAAGGAAAGTAGTAGCCGAAGAGACAGAATGGGCCACATAAACCAGAGACTTCATCAGCCTGAGACCAGAAGAACTAGATGGTGCACGGCTACCACCAATGACCGCCCTGACAGGGAACACAACAGAAGGTCCCTGATGGAGCAGGAGAAGGATGGGGTACAGAACTCAAATTCTAGTAAGAAGACCAGACTTAATGGTCTGACTGAGACTGGAGGTGCCCCGGAAAGCATGGCCCC